AAAACTTCCCTATCCAACCTGGCTTTTCCGACTCGCTAATTCTCACCGCTCATTAATTGCTGTATCGCTACTCATTTCTCTGGATAATCATGTTCTCTCCCTGTTTCTATTTACTAATGCTTTTTGTTTGTTTTCTCTACTTTCTGTATTTTACCTTGTTTTAATGACTTACTGTTCAGTGTAATCACTTACTGTTATTTTAACTGTGAAGCACTTTGGTGTACACCCTGGCTTTCAACGTGCTATATCAATAAAATTGTATTGTATTGTAGATAATTTCACGTCTCTATTTTCTGAAGGTGGTTGAGTCTTTTCATATCTGTCAGACAATGCTCAGGATTTTCCATGAGTTTGCTGCAGCCAGTGCCATCCTCTATGATGTGTCATGCTGGGGCAGCAGGGTTGCAGATAGCACCAGATTCAATAAACTGGTCTGCAAGGCCAGTAATGTTGTGGGGAGGGAGCTGGACTCTGGAGAGGCAGATGTTGTCCTACATAAGGACGATGCTGGACATTACCTTCCATCCACTTCATGACATGCTGGCCAGTCACAGGAGGACGTTTAGTGAAAGACTACGATTACGCAAACACACCACTGAGGACACAATAATTCATTTCAGCTTGTGGCCAATTCTCTGAATAATTCCACTAAGACAGACACCGTAGATTAGACACCTCAGAGTAGTGTGAAGTGGGGTTGTCAGCTTAATGCTGACAAAACCAGAAGCAGAAGTCCACAACACCAGGCCAGCTCATTCAGTCTCACATGATCGTGGAGATGCTTCATAGAAGAAAGGCTGGGGGACCAGGATTGTATTAGTGGGGACTAAAGGGATTAGTTGAATGAGGATCACAGTGCTGACGGCAAGTTAGAGAGTGTCTGATACTGTCTGGCCAATCAGACGCTGTGCTCATTCTCTTATGTTTTTACGACAACCTTTCAAAAAAGGTTTATTAACAAAGTTGTAATTTAACAACAACATGAACTGCAGGGCTGTTTTCTGTGGGGATGAAGAGACGGGTACATCTTAAGCAGGTGAGTGGAAAGACATGCAGGTAATCTGAGTTTGAATCAAAATCCAGTGAATTCCAAACATGCAATGGGAGAATCTGATTAGGCTGTGAGCTTTGTGGAAGAAGAGATGAAAGCGATACCAGACAAAATCTGGCAAAGGTGGAGCAGCGGAGCCAGTCCTTAAGCACAGTTTTTTGAAAGGGCATGTCTTCAGAGATATAGAACAAAGAGGCAACCATGCACACACACATGCACATAACAGAATGAAGGAAGAGACAAAGAGAAGGAGAGCGAGAGAGAAGTAAAGAGAACGGGACAAAAAGGAGACAGAGAAAGCAAAAAAGAAATCTGCCATTGAAAATGAATGACATTTGGCTACTATAAGTCATGTAAAGAGTTGTGATACGAGAGAAAACCCTCAAATCACGAAAACAGTTTTGTGCTGATTCACTTGTGATCCATAATGCAAAGAAGTTAAATAGAACTACAGTACAGATACTATTTCTTAAACAGAACAAATCAAAATCGTTCACTAGTGTTGCTAACTACATAATTCAACTAACGTGCCATTTCAGAGAACCCAGCCTACTAAACATTGTTTTGATATTGTTAAAATCAATCAACATCAAAATTCAGGGAAAGGAGACAGGAAGAAACAGTGATTTCAACTGAAATTTGGACAGTTGTTACAGACAATTACAATAATACCATTTGTTTGTTTTTTTTACTTAGCTAGACTAGTATAAAATAAGAGAGGTTTATACTGCACCGTGATTACCTACCAGTAAAACAACATAATGCATACGTGACTCATGCTTTTGAATTGGCTTGATGAAAAAAATTACACTATAAAAAAGTTTGTTTGGGACATTGAAGAGCCATACGCGGTATCTTAATCTTTTTCTTCTTCTTGTAGCCATCCTCTCTTCTTCCTTCCTGGAATCTTTTGTCCCATTTATCCAGATGTTCACACCATCTAAACCTTGCTTCTCTAATTTTGTCTCCAAAGCATCCGACCTTAGCTGTACCACTGATATATTTATGTCTAATCTTTTCCTTTTTGGCCCCTCTCAAAGAAAATCTTAACATCTTCAACTCTCCATCTCTAGCTCCGCCTCTTTTTGTTTGTTCCACCTTCTCCAAACCATTATAGCAGGTCTCTATAGAGGTATTGAAAGCTTCACTGTTACATTCATTACCCTGTCATTCACAGACATGTATTCGGTCTTGGTTCTACTGACTTCCATTCCTCTACTCTCCAGACCAGTCTAAGAACATCATAGTCCATGGAAACTCATCTGTCAAACTGTCCATCACCTAACCTGCACTATAAAAATGGTCCTAGATAGGTAGCACCTGGATTATGTGGGTAGTACTTTAAAGTATGACTAGAAGGGTTCCTGACCAATTCATATCAGTGTGTGTTGAGCTGAGGATAAGAATGTGCTGCTTGTTAATTTCCTACTTGCAGGGGATCAATCCATCTTTAACTTAAGAAAAGAAAGCATGATAATGAATTTCGCAATAGGGCTGCTTCCTGACATGCTTATGAAGGTAGTGAATATTAATGAACTGACCTTTCCTAGCAAAGCTTTCCTTGCGGAGGAAGCAGACCATGGCAAGAAACTTGGTGACCTCTTTCAGGTATATGACTGTGGTGTTGTTCAGGTGAATGATGGCCATAGAGTCTTTGTCATGGGGTAAACCAGCTTCAGTGTTTGGCATACTGAAGGAAAGAAGACAGAAAAAAATAGCTCAGATGAACTTCAAAGATAATATTTAATTTTACATAATCCTGAGACACAGTGTAGGCTTTTACTGAGGGAGCATTATATTATAGCTTCTTGTTTTCAACAGGTTAAAGAAACTGCCAACTGCCTGGTAAATAACAGAGTCCTGCTTTTATCTAGAACTCACCCAGAGGACTTTGAAATGTAGCAAGAAAGTTGGAGAGAAAAGACGTAGCACCCTGAAATGGATGGATGGATGGATGTATAGATTCTCTGCAGGTAATCTAAGTTTGCAAAAGCACTGAGGAAGAAGCCTGAACTTTCACTTTTCATCCAAATTCAGAAGTACAAATCAGCATCACTTTCTCCTCTTTATGCTGTATCAGAAATCCTTCCTACTCCTTACAATCCTTACAACCCCCCCACAAACACACACACATATTATCACACCCCATAAAGTTATGTTCATGGGCTTTTTAAATTTCCACACCATCTATTTCAATCTGCAGTTGTGAGTTTGAGAATTTAAAAAAATAACATGATTTAAAATGTACTGTCATCAGCAAATAATGCTAATTTTAATATATCAGACATCTTTACAAATGTCATTTATACATTTACATAAAAACGAATAGCTCCGGACCCAGTACATAAACCTGAGGAAGCAATGTCCAAGCAGGATAAGGATTATTCTCTCAACTTTACACTTTTAACATGCATCTGGACAAGTCTTCAGTGATTTTTCCTGGAGTCATCAGGTGTTTTGAGTCTTTCAACGTTATATACCCTCACCCAGGTGGGGGTGATCAAGAGCCACCCATCGCTCGCCCCACTTCAGGTATTTGGTGATTCTGGCTTCTCTAGTGGCCTTTTCATGGTTCCTATTTGCATGTATGATTCCCAGGTACTTGTAGCTGTTCTCAATGTCAGTGTCTGCAATGTTGCCTTTTTGAGAAGAGGCCCCCACTCATATCATTGAGCTTCTTCAAACTTATTCTCCAAACCATATCCACGGATAGTGGTCTTCTGGCTATTCCACAGACTGGTTTGAAAACAAAGTACAATCCCGCTTTTCAAACATTAACGCCAAAAGTGTGGAACAGTTTACCTCCCATTCTACACACCATTGACTCTTCTTTTAAAAAACAGCTGAAAACGAATCTATTTAGACATGTATTTGGGTAATGTTCTTATGTATTATGTTGTTTTTGTCTGACGTATTTTTACGTCAGACAAAAACAACATAATACACTTTGCAATAGACTCTTGTCTTAAAAAGTGGTATATAAATAAATTTTACTTCACTTTTTTTCTACTTCTGTTCATTATGATTTTTTTTCATATCATTATAAAAAAAACACTGATATGAAATTATTAAAATATTGTTCTTTCACATAGCACGTGGCATGTGCTGTGCTGACTGCTAACTAGAGTGAAGGACAGAAATGTTGGGCTGACTGCTCCGCTCTGCTTATATATCATTTTTTGCAGCAGCTCTATGTATACTAGATGCTCCTGTTCTTGGTCATTTCAAAACATGCATCTCTTTGCTTTTGTATGCTCTATGAGAGTTTGTGATGCGTTCAAAAGTTTAATAAAAAAAATGTATACCTCATTCATAAAAAAGAAAGATTTGTAACTATCTATAAAGGCTCTGGAGGTCCCTATATCTGCACATAAACTGTGTCAAAAAGTTCACCGCGTGCATGAGCGAGTACTCCTTGCTGGCGCACTTGCGCTGTGCTTTGCTCGATGCAGGTGTGAAGTCACTCAAAAGCCAGTTGCCATGTTCTTTCTACTGCATCATATGTCTGATGTGTACTAGGAGTGTCTAACCACCTTATAATAATACACTCATTGCAGTGCTTTGGACTTCAGACCACTATGACTGCTAAATGCTAAAAACACTGACGCCACTGTAAATCGATGAATGTTTTCAGAGCACAAGAGTCTAATGGTGTAGTTGTCCTGCCCCATTAGAGGCCAAACCTGAGGCTGAGAACACTCTTTTTCATATTCAGCTGTTGCAAAGTATTTTAATGAGCCAGGGCCTGCTGCAGTTTTGGCCCAGTGGGTGTGTCTCTCCTGCCTTTGGTGCCACTCTTCTGTTTAGATTACTCTAACCAGAAAAGGAGACCAGAAAAGAAGAGCTATAGGACTAGAGAGCTTTTGGCTAGGGTGTGTGTTGAGCTTCTCTCCTAAACTCAAATAGTGACCTAGATTCTGACTGTGGTGTGAAGGCACTCTTCAAGCAGGAGGATTTCTCTGCATATCAAGGTGGCAGGAAAGTGCCTTAACAACACCGGTACTGTGAGTCCAATCACCTGTTTATTTCTGCGGTTGCTCCTTCAGGCTGGACGAACTGAGCACAGTTTGTTTGGGATTCCCTTTGCTGATCGATTGGAAAACGCGAAGTGGAAGGTAGGGCTGTCTCAGCTCTCTCCCCTTCTTTCCATTCACCAAGCAGCAGGTTATTTATTTGGTTGGCTTTGTCTGATTGTTGTACACTATTAATTGTATTCATTTAATAAATTAGTGTATTTTGATTGAAGTCATTTCTCTCCCATTAATTCCATGATGTAAGTAAGTAAGTACAATTTTATTTGTGATAAAAATCACAACGTACTTCACAGAAAAGCTAAAACATAAAAACATAAATCAACCAACAGCAAGTTTAAAAAGATGAGTTTTTAGCTGTTTTTTAAATGAAAGCACTGAGTCCACAGATCTCAGGCTCAAAGGAAGGGAGTTCCAGAGTCTGGGGGCTACATTTACAAACACTCTATCGCCTTTCGTCTTCAGCCTCGTATGATGGACGACCAGCAAGCCCTGATCACATGACCTCAGGGACCTGCTGGGGATGTAAGGATGTAAAAGATCTCTGATATAGGTTGGTGCTTGTCCATGCAAAGTCAAAATCTTAAAGTGGATTCTGAATTTTATGGGGAGCCAGTGCAACTGGATCAGCAGAGGTGTAACGAGAGAGTATTTAGAAGAGTTGGACAGAAGCTTTGCAGCAGCGTTCTCAACAACTTGCAGATGATCCACAGAAGCTTTACATAAACAAGTAAACAAAGACTTACAATAACATAAACAAGATGAGGCAAATGCATGGATGACCATTTCTAATTCTGAGCGTGGTACAATGGGACTCAGCTTAGCAATATTTTTTAAATGATAAAAACAGGAGTGAACCAGTGATTTAGCACGAGTGTGAAAATTATTTCCTGTGACGGGTGAGAAGCTGGCAAATGAGACTATGAAGCATCTGAAGAACAAACCAGTGGATTATTTTTAAAGAAAGATTGTTGGTCACAGTGTGTAAGGCTATTCATGTGGCTTTGCTGGTTATACTGCGCGGTGACCTCCCCTCCCCGCCAGCCCCCCTTTTTTATTTAGGGCACTGCATTTCACAACATAATACCAGATATTGTGCATGTCTTTATGCGTCATTGTGTGGTAGGAAGGTGAGAGTGAATGAGTGACTGAATGAATGGTCTGTCGACTGCTCGTGGCTTCTGGAGGGGTGTTATTCCTTACTTCCCACCTTCATTATGTGATACAAAGGAAATATGAGCAGGAACCACGAGCATGTTGAGGGACTGGCTGTGTTAGTTCAGTGAGAGAGTCAGTAAGTACTGTGTACACTTATTTCTGCTTTTTTATTTGGTTAAATACGAACAAAATTACAGCAGAAGTGCTGCCACGTGTCTGGCCAGAAAGAAAGGACCAATGTGTTTATTTGGTAGTTCAATAAAAAGCTTCAGTTAGTTAAGAGTGAGAAAAAAATTGTGTTCACATTTGCAGATTTGTCTTGTTATACAATATTTGCAAAGCAATAGCATTCAAAATTACTTTGTCTAAACTAAACATCCTCCTCTGAAGAACAAACCAGTGGATTGTATTTAAAGACAATTTGTTGGTCACGGTGTGTAAGGCCATCCATGTGGCTTTGCTGGCTATACTGTGCGGCGACCCTCCCCCCAACCCTCCTTTTTATTTAGGTCATTACAGTTCACAACATATCACCACACAATGTGTGTGCTTGTGTGGTTCGTGGTGGGTGACAGTAAGCTTTGGGGGGGGGGGTTATTCCAGCTTCCCAGCCTCACAATCAAGTACTTTTGTGAGACCCACACTCTCTCTGTCTCTCTCACATTCACACTTACACTACACGAGTTTGTTGACTTATGTATCTGTGCATATTCAAAGTTTTGTGTTCCAGGTGCTGTATGTTTGTTTTTACTAACAGGTGCAGCAGTTGGCGATA